GCTGGTTCCATCGAAGAGAGCACAACGCTCGGTGGCGCTCATGATGGTAATGCAAAGCAGCAGCAGCAGGAGGAGGAGGAGGAGGAGGAGGAGGAGGAGGAGGAGGAGGAGGAGGAGCAGCAGCAGCAGCAGGGAGAAGGGAAGCAGGTGGACCTGATCATGCTCTCCCGCATCCTGCATGACTGGGACGATGGGCGATGCATGCGGATCCTTCGCAACTGCCACACCGCCCTTCCGTCCAAAGGCAAAGTGCTCTTGGCGGAAATGCTGCTACGCGACGACACGCACCGTGGACCTGTGGCAGCCCAGCTGCAATCTCTCAACATGCTCGTCCAGACACACGGGCGCGAACGGTCCTGTCGAGAATACACCACACTGCTGCATGATGCGGGATTCACCGATGTGCAGTGCAAGCGCACAGGCGTCTACTTGGACGCCATCATCGCCACCAAACCGTGAGGTCGCTGTGTTTGTTGGTTGGTTTGTTTGTTTGGGGGCGGGGGGGGGATCCAAGACCACCAAACTCCCTCTGTCTTATCTCTCGCCACGCTTTGACGCTGCTGTTGTTAACTGAATGCTGCGAGTCTGTTATTCGAGAGGGGAGCGTGGGTTACGTGCAACAGGAGAAATAAAACAGAAGCATCACTTGAAACACAACACGGCACAGAACGCGGAATGAAAGGTGGAGAGGAGGCTTGTGGTGTGCGGTACGTGTGTATGCAAGACCTATATCACGAAAATAAGAAGAGAGAGGGAGAGGGAAGGGAGAGGGGAGTGGGGGGGGGGGGCATGCAAGAGTACACACCACGGCTTGCTTAATCAGCATGCAAAGAAAGGGGTAACACGAGAGACACGGGCAGAAGCAACAGCCAAAAATCACGCGCCCGCCTGGAATCACTGTTCAGATGTGTTGAGGCTCGGCGACCTGATAGTGGTGATGGCAGCGAGACATGGCACAACATGCACGATGTGTGAGACGACAATGCTCACGCGGAAATGTTGACAACACGCCCACAGACACAGACAGACGGGCAGACAGACAGACAGACAGACAGACAGACAGACATCGCCACCTCCCCCCCCTAACCATCTGTGGTCGGCGTGGGCTGTGCGGCGTGGGCTGACGGTCTTCAGCTCGGTCGGCTCCAGCACCCGATACGGCGCGCAGAACTGGAATCCAGGCTGCTCCGTCTTCGAAAAGTCAATTCTGCTCGTATGACGCACGGGGGATTGGTGGCAGTGATGGTGAGGCGCAAGGGCGACAGCACGATGACAACTTGGCTGACCCCACAGTCATCCCACCAAACACGCACTGGCTCCACCACGGCACAGCACAACGCATCACAGCGCAGTGCAATACCACACCGCATCACACTACACGAACGTACTCTGATTTTGCCTTGCGCACTTCCTGCTTGGCCAACGTTCTGAGGTGGAGCTGGCTCCTCACGTGCTTGCCGAGCACATCTGTTGGCACCGTCACCACCACATCGGCGCCACCCTCCTCATCGTCATCATCAAGGTTTGATTCGTTGCTGGCGTCGGCGGCCGGCTGATCACCAGCACCGCTGCTCATGCTCCCGCGTGCGCTCCCGTCGTCCGTTTCCTCCATCAGCGAACCCATCGCTGTCAACGGCACATACACACACAACACGACAAAAATAGGATCGTATCAGTATTCTGCAAAACAAACACAGGCAGACCTTAACAGCCAAACACTTGCATTCAACATCGACACGCACACGCGCACACACACACACACACACACATGCACACACACCCCCCAACACCCACTCACAAGCTGACACACACACACATACAAACACACAACCCAAACACTTGCCCTCAACATCGACACGCACACATGCACACACACATGCACACACACCCCAACACCCACTCACAAGCTGACACACAACACATACATACCAACACGCACACACACACAATCCGTCTCAAGCTCATATGTGCAACGCTTCAAACCTCCCCCCCCTTCTCCTCGAGCCAAACTAGACCTGTGAAGAGCTGGCTGCCGCGAGCCGATGTCTGCGTGGTGGACGGCCCTTGCTGCGCCGCCTTGGCCTCCGCTTCCTCCAATGACATGCTCGTTGTCTGGGGAAGCATCCAGGACCCTTCTGTCGTTGCGCCAAACGTGCCGATGTAATCGCCCTTGAGCGACCACACGCGCACGGAGCAGTCTGCAGAGGCTGTGATGACAATGTTTTTGTTGAGCACCGTGATGTCTGTCACGGGCTGCACGTGTGCGCGCCAGTGGGCGGTGATTGGCGGCGCCTCGCTGCCCTTCAGCGTGTCAGGCTTGTTCGTGCAGTAGTTGGAGATGTCCCAGAGGAACACGTAGCCCTGCGTGTCTGCAGTCGCCAGCAACGCGTCATCCTCCGTTGTTGCCATCGCACGCACTTTCTGTAGTCGGGGACGTTGGGGGAGGGGGGGGGGGGTGATGTGTATGCATGAGGGGGCGGAAGAGCGAGGTGACAAAGTG